ATCTCTCGCGGCTGAGTCATCTCTCGCGACTCAGTCATCTCTCGCTGCTGAGTCATCTCTCGCGGCGTGCAGGTTTGGCACAGTTCATACTGATAGTATTTGGTTGCATTTATGCAGGACAGGACATTCAACTGCTGGTCAATACACCACTCATCATACACACTGATCCTGCAGGGGGCACACACCTTACACACGTGGAATCCCGTGGGTCAAAAGTCCGGAGCGCGTACGTTTGACTGGAGGACGCGCATGTTGCAGAGAACGTGGACACTCCTATAGGTCAATTTGTTCTTATAGGAAACTTCCGCCGCCGGCTTGCCCGGGAACTGCTTGTAGACGCTTGATTGGTTGAATGATTGATTGCGCAGATTGAATTCACGATTCAGAATCAATTGAGTCACCAACCCAATAGGGGGCGCAATAGTTCCGTACTCCAGAGCTTAGCGTGTGGTAAGATGGTCGGAACTACCTTGGCATTCGAGCAGGCAGCTCAGGAAGCTCGGGAACTGTTTTCGGACAACAAATTGCAAAACCAAAATCAAAGACCTCAAAACAGCTCAAATCATGGATTGGTGTACAGCAGACTGGTGCGTGCTTGTTGGGACTCGACTCACTGACAGGGAAAGATACGCAAAGGCTATTGTCGGCTTACCCTCAGACTTGTAACGATCGTTCCATAGCTTGACGAAGCATGCCACCTCGACATGGCCAGAGTCAACCGTAGATAGATAGATAGATAGATAGACAGATAGATAGATAGATAGATACTAGTAGTACAGTCTGTACAGTCAGTCCAGTTTTAGTCGCAGAGCATGTAAAACCACGCCTCCTGTTCCCGCTCCGTCAAGGTGGCAAAGAACTGGGATGTTCCAAACTCTGGCGGGTGAGCCAAGGGCCACTTCACTGACAACGTCTCTGCTAAGTGAGTAAGCTGTTCAACCCATTGAGCTGTTGCAGCTGAACTTCCTGTACTGGTCTCGGAGTTTTTGGTATCACGTTTCTCAGCTACAGCAGCACGTCTCTGAAGTTCTTTGATCAAAGCTGGGTGCGTGTCAGGCAGGAGGAAGTCGGCCTTGACTCATGAATGAAGCTTGACGTGGAAAGAAAATCAACAAAGCAACAAAAGCTTCCCCGCACTTGCACGTTGCAAACATTGCAAACGAAACCAATTTGTAGACGGAATTAGATGGACTTGGTAAAAAAAATCTGGGACTTCGGCAACTGGACTGCATTCTGAGCTTGCCATAGTCTGCAAACGAGATGGAGTCAGCTCTGCTAGAGCCGATGCACTTTGAGCAAAATCCACAGAACTCCGGAAACCAAAGATATAGTATCTGCTACGCCGCTGTGGAAGCCCATAGTCTGACGACTTAAGCTTCCTGGCACAGCAACTGTAGCCCAGCTCTTTCAAATACTCCAACACCATGGTCAGATTCGATTTGCGCTGCCTAAGTTGAAATTGAAGTGCGGGAACTATATGATTCACCTTGCACTGATAATTCAGACATTCGCAATCACCTGAACTGCGTAGGCGCAAACACCTAGTTAAGTTAAGTTACGCGGAATCTTGGTCATCTCCCCCCGATGTGGCTGCATCAATGCTGTCCACATTCTCAAGAATCAGTGCATGAGGCTGCGCTGTCCGCAATATGGAAATAACTCCTTTGAATGTGGCAGTGGAGCTACATTCCTCAGTGTCCACAGTTTTTGTTCGCGTTTGCAGTTTTGTGATCATGCAATCATGGTTCACAATATTTATCAATATTTCACAATTGTTCCGATTCCACTGCTCATAGCCCAAAGAAGTATCAGTATCATCCCCCATAGCAGTTTTGAGCACCGAAAAGTCACAATTCATTTTGGAAAATGACCTTGGAACAAAATGACTGATTGTTTCCTTTTGGCTTACTTGCTGAGTCACTGAGTACTGACAATGCAAACTCAGTCTCAGGGCCGAACTTACAGGAAAAACCTGCGACAAACAAGCCAAACAGGGTGTTGTTGGCTGCGCAATCTGGAAGCTCCTCAGAGTCAAAGTTGGCTTGCATCGTTGCGCACGGTTTCCACTTGTGGTTCGATGAGTGAGGCAGGAACGATTTTTAGGGTCATCAACCTTGGTGATGTCGTCGAAAAAGCAAGCAACATCTCGTTCCTGCCAACAGCAGGACTGTGCTACCCCAATTGCCAATTGGTTTGGTTTTCTCCTCTGGAGGGATCACGTGCTTCATGACAAACTTCTGCTTGTTCTGAACAATCTCGCGCATGAAAGATCGTTCCACCTTTCATCACAAGAGAAGTAGACGACTGAGAAGACAGCGAGACAAAACAAACAGAGAAACTTGACTCAACTCACCTAAATGTGTTCCCGACCCTGACCTCAAGCTCGCAGCCGAACTGTTGGTTCAATTCTTTGACTACTACCTCAAGTACAATTTCCAGCGTACCACTCCCAGTGCAGGCTGTCATGGTCAAGATCGTTTTGGGTAGAGCTTCCACCACCATTGACACGGAGTCCTTTCCAATCGCAGCAATAAGCTTGCCCAGCTGCGCCTCACAGTCCATTGTTGGTGAGTACGCTATAATGGTATACAGTATATGGTATACAATATAACTTAACGGTTTTACGGTATACAGTACAGTTTTTTCTACAGACTGTAGCCTTGTCATGTCCATAGTCTTGAGTCTGAGTCTCAGTCTTAGTCCAGTCAAGTCTCAGTACTTAGTACTACGCAAGAACAGCAGACACAAACTGAGCCTTCGCATGGGGTTGGAGGAAGGATGAATGCTTTGCAGGAGGTTCAATGCCATCCATGTCAGCCTCCACATCCATGTCAGCGTTGTCCTCTTGCGCAGGAGCGTCCGTCCTTGTCGCTGTTTGTCTCAGCCTCGTCCTTGACATCCATCCGAGGATCCATGTCAGGAGCGTCAGCGTTGACCTCTTGCGAAGGAGCGTCCTTGTCGCTGTTTGTCTCAGCCTCGTCCTTGACATCCATCTGAGGATCCATGTCAGGAGCGTCAGCGTTGTCCTCTTGCGCAGGAGCGTCCTTGTTGCTGGTCTTGACATCCATGTCCTTGCTCTGAGTTGGCTCTGCGTTGGGAGTCTCCTCCTGCCATCCACTATTGCAACCAGAGCGGAATAGACTCTTTGTTCCTGTGAATCCTCGAAAGATTCGGTTGAATCTTCCACTCCCCTTGCCCCAGGAATAGTGGCACTCCCAGCTGCTTCTTCCACTACCCCTGCCCCAGGAATAGTGGCACTCCCAGCAGCCTCAGGCTCCGGTTCCACTTGTCCTCCAAAAGGTGGGGTCACAGGAATTGATTTGGATTGAGCGTGAGCATCTGAACCCTGACCATCAGCATTTGCCTCAACCTGTGCTTCGACTTCTACATTGGATGGGGCGTCGCATGGACAATCTGGCGGCGCTGCAGCATCTGCTGGTAGTTCTTCAGTGGGAGCTGGTTGCACCATGTCAGCCTCAGGATGTGCTTGATCTTGCGCTGAAACATCCGGTGTTGGCATTGGTGTCATGGCTCCTGCCTCATCCACTGGAAGGAGATTTGTAGGGACTAATGTGGTACTTGAAGAGGCCAAAGCACTCGAGCTTTCTTCACATTGTTCTGGAAGTGTCGTGGTTTGCCCACAGCCTGACAAATGGAATAATACCAGTCTCAATCCAAATACTATAAATTAGACTAAATGTAATGATGAAACTAATATTGCAGTCTGAAACATATCAGACCATAATACCTTATCATCTACAAGTTGCGATGTATGTCCAGAACCACCCCCGCCCCCACCCAAACAATGCAACTCCCAGCCTTCCATACTCTGTCTTCACCTTTTGGGTAAATTTTGCCCAGAACTGGACGCCAGAAGGATTGACTTCCTTTGGCAAGGGTGAGTCAGCAGCCTTTGCTCCACGGCCGCGGCTGCGGCCAACACCACGACCACGCCCTCGGGTTGGGACTGGGACAGGAGTGACACTACTGGAATCCTCAGAAACTTCATCCGCGTCCGCGACACGAGCTTTTGCCTTTGGCGTCGGCGGAAAAATGGCTTTGGCGTTGGGGCATCTCTTAGGCTTTGGTTTTGCTATTGTCTTGACTGCCCCTTTTTTCGGTGCCATTGTGGATGGAAAGCGGAAAGCGCTGGCTGGAGCTGGAACTTGAACAACGATGTGCTTCAAATCCAAATACAGACATAGAAATCAGAAATCAGAAATCAAGACACTTGACACTCACCTCCTTTCCGATAGAAATCAGAAATAGAACAACACACTTGACTCAAACAGTCGAGTCGCATGTCACCTCCTTTCCACGCTGCTTAAATCTAGTCTAGAGTTCGGAGTGGTCTTTTCACATTGGGAGTCTGTACTATGCATACCGCCACTTTGGAATTGCGCAAAAGCTACATGGACATGGAAGCCACAGTCCACAGGAGCTCCAGTCCACCCCAAATGCTCAGCCAAGCTGCGCAAAAACGACCCTATGGCCTATGACTGTAGCCAGTTTGGATTCACAATACAAAAGGGCAAATTGACATCTGTGTACCGATGTCGTGATTCAAAGCACTGAACAAATTCAACTGTATGTTGTTGAATTCCTCATCCAAGATCACACTCGCCAGATGTTGAAAGTATCACTTCGCAGCCAACAGCTTTGTTGCGATATCCTGCACATTAGGAGGAATGTCCAGCATGTACTCCTTTGCAATGCTCATAGACTCCTTCACCGCAGAAATGACTTTGTCTGCTGCCGCTGTTTTACCCTTCAACGACTTCTGAATGGATTTGGAAACCATGCAACTCAGCAAGTTCCCTGTCGTCCTCAGTCAGTTTGTTGCAGGTAGGTGTGCCGAAATACATTCAGAGTCTGAAATACATTCTGATTTCGATTTATGAATACTATATTCCATTGATATGATTTGATATGATTCGATATGAACCATACTAAGAGGCCCGCATCCATGATAGACATGCTCTCCACATTGACTCAAGGGCCTTGAAGTCACTGCAAAATCCAGCACACAAGAAGTCGGTTGTGACTTGCAGGCTCTTCGAAGTATCCTTGATGTTATCCATGCATTTTTCCAATGCCACAGTGGTATCAACCACTGCCTTGTTCAACTTGTTGTTGAATGTCGCTCCCACCTTCCCTGCCAGTTTCACCAGCTCGTTCAAATCAGCAGGCAATTTGAGCTCATCAGGGACAGCAAGCTCTGGAATGTTGATGAGCTTGAGGTCATGTGTGATGCCAGCCTGCATGATCATGTTGAACTGTTTGGATTGATCAACCAGCCATGTCCAAAAAGCAATGGCTTGGTCGAGCGGCTCCTTGGAATCCACCTCTTGCATCTTGGGCAATACCTCAAAGAATTTGATCAGAATGGCTTTGGCGTCAGCATCATCGCCTCCATTCTGAAGATTGATCTTCCCAATTGCTGTCACCTCAGCAGGATCCAAGACTACTTCGTCACCACTAGCACCACACAAACGTGGATTGCAGAAGCACTGGTTGCCCGTGACGATGAGGTCCACAATGTTCAAGCCTCTGCGAACAAAAGTGCCATCATCACCCATGACACTTGACAAGCGATAGGAGTTGTCCATGTTGTTCTTGAACTCTGCCAAAGCATCGGAATCCACGAGACGCTTCTCCTCTGAGGTGAACAGCTTTTCGGCAACAAACTTCAGGCGGACCATTGGCAGCTTTGCCAGCATTTGCCAAACATTCAGAGAGATCTTCCAAGAAGCCGTCACACTCTGCAAAGGCTCCCTCGCAGAACTCTTTGGTCATCGTGCACCATCGCTCAAAATCTTCCAAGCATTTCTGCACATCTTGGACTCCTGATGTCTTCGAGATGGATGCATTGATTCGGGGCGTCTTGGCCATGGAGTGGATCTTGGTCCAGCAACATGGGAAACAAGATTCATGATTCAAAGGCGTTGATTTGATCGGTCTGCTCTCAGCCATGGAATCTGTCATCTTGCCCAGGAATGACACAAGGTCATCTGACATGCTCGCATGGATTGCCACCCAAATGGAATCATCCAATGTAGCCAGAAGAGTCTTCAGATGTTCTTTGTCAGAGCCCTTCAAATTCTTGGTGTCTGGATCTTTGGCAACCTTGAGTGCATCAGCGAGCCTCAGATATTGTTGGTTTCGTTGGACAGGGGCCCAACAAACAAACTCGTGAAATTGGATTGACTTGAATGGCAGCCAAGAAACATTTTGCCATAGGTATTGTCCAGGGTCATTGTCAGCTGATCTACCTCTGTGACGGCTTGCTCTTCCAAATCAGATTGCGCTTTGGAGATCTTTTCCAAGATGCCGTTCTGCTGTTCGCGGTTTGTAGCATTCTCTAGAGCCAATTGCACAGCTTTCTTCCCCTTGTCAAGCTTGAGTGCCTGTGCCAACCAATGGTCAGACTTGCCCAAAAACTCACCGCTTGCCTGAACAGAGGAGGGGATGGAGGCAACGTCCATAATGGTAATCACAGCCTGCAACACCCTGCTATGATCCACATCAGCAGCGAATATATTGTCGTCATCAGCCATGGCCTTCTTCATCTCTTGCAGGAACTTCATGAAGTATGGCAAATCTTTTGCCGGTTCCTTCATTTGAGTCTTAACTGGTCCTTTCAGCATTCGTTGCGCTAGCTGGCTGGCAAGGAGGCCGAAGTAGCATTGACCATCCTCATCACCAAGGTGCTTCAGGCAAGCCTGATTGATGGAGCTGAAGAAAGGATCGAAGCTTGCTGTCTTTAGATCCTGTCGGCGAATCAAATACCATGAATTTATCTATTATTAGTGAACTCGTTATATAACATGATATTAGTAAATTCGTTATATAATACAACTAACTCGTTCAATATGGTCCTCAAACGCTGCAGCGCGCAAGGCCCGTTCCCAGATTGGTTTGGAAACATCAGTGAAAAGATCGTTGCCGGTGATGCTCTCATAGATTGAGCTGCCCTCGGATTGACAAGCTTCTTCAACAAAGTCTGAAGTCCGGTAAGTTCCGCCACGATGTTGTCAAGCTCCCCAAACGAAAAGTTGTATCAGAGGTCCTTCTGCGCAAAGACTTCTTCTTGCCAAGGACACCAGCTTTGAGGTCATTGACCTTCTTGGTCCTCTCTTTGATCCAAACCGCTAACGCAGCATCATCAGATTTGTCAGCGTCAAGCTTCATCACTTCAGCCAGTTGTTTTTTGTAGGGCTCTACCAATGTGTGATCCTCAGAAGTGCCTTCAATGCCGGTCTCATCCTCAAACATGGGCGGTTTCGGTGTCGGAGCGGTGTTCTCTCCGATCTTTCTTCTTTTATTCGTTTTTGTATTGGACGTAACTCCACCTGGACCTGAAGCCGGAGTTTGACCTTTTGGCTTCTTGATGGGCTGGTTGGCACTCAGTGTAGGCCCACCAGGAGCAGCTCGCTTCTTTTCCTTGGCCAACCTACCAAGAAGTCCAAGATACTGTTGCGGGTCCAAGTTCTCATCGTTCTCATCATCGTTCTCATCACCTTCACCTTCACCGCCTTCAAGATCATCGGGCTTTCCTCCCACATGATCTGGAGTAGTGTCCAAGCCACATCCGTCGGAAGAACTGGCAATTCGAAAACGCATTGGAAGGGCTTGGGTTGAATCAACAGCAAAGGCAGACTGATTCATCTTCTTCAGAGCGGACTGATGCATTGCGTTGATCTGCTCTGCTCCAAGGGAAACATCAGGATTGTTCAATCGGGTTGTACGGTTCACCTTGTGCAGCTGCTCGTCCACATATTCATAGACACCAACATCCTACAGCGGAGTGTGTATACTGAGTTCAATCACTAGCTGCTAGCTCTTAATAGTTACAGTAGTTGACGTTGAATGTTCTGACTCTGACTCAAGTTTAAGCTTTTTGAAAATCACAGTCCTCTTCGGCTATGACATCAACACCCCGCACAACAACACCATTGTAGATCTGTCGCTTGCTTCGATCCTCTGGCGCTTGCCCGAAGCGTCGCTCATAGGCTGAGAGTTCCATGAACTTGGTCTTTGGCCCACGTAACCTGTAACACGTTCCTCTTGAATGTTGGGTTCTTCCCTCAAAGCCGCGCTCAATCTCAAAGAAGGATTTTCAATCTTGCGTGCCAGCAACACACCTCTTTGCGCCAGGAACTTATGATTTGCCACAGGATCACCATCCAACTTCTTGTCAACTGCCGTGATGTGCTCCAGCAACCATCCACCATACTCCACTGTCTGCAGGGTTGTGAAGTACTTTTCATCTATGAACAGTCAAGTACCCCATACCCGTACCGCACCCCATACCCTGTACCCGTACCCTTGTAATTGTACCCCATGCCGCCCCGTACCCGTACCGTACCCCCGTACCGAACCCCGTACCCTGTACCGTACCCCTGTACCTGCCCCTATGCACCCTGCACCCTATGTACCAAATCTGCTGCTAATCCAGATTTCTGGCAGAAAAGTATGATTAGTGGCAGATGTGGTACATGGTACATAGATATGGTACATGGTACATGGTAAATGGTACGGGGGTACGGTACAGGGGTACGGTACGGGGGTACGGTACGGGGGTACGGTACATGGGTGTACAGTATGGGGTACAGTATGTGGTACAGTATGGGGCACTGTTCAGGATCACAGTAGGTAGACAATATAAACATATATGCTCAGTGCCGGAATTGTATGTGTCGTTTTCGTTTGATTGCTTGCAACTTCCCCACCTTGCGACATATGTAGCAGTGGTTGCCTTGTGGTGATTTGAGATTGCCACTCTCCCATGCCACCAAAATGCCCCAAGCACTTTCAGCAGCTTTGGATTGGTCATATTGGCACCTCTCAGTCGACCAAATACCACACCGTTTGCACTTCTTCGCCTTGTAGTCCTTACCCAAGTTGAGATCCACCGGAACAGGTGGAGGTTCAGTCAGGCCCTTCATCACAGTTGTGGCGACAGAGCGAGGCATGTCCTCTTGCTCGCTGAGTTTCGTGGATCGTGAAGTTGAAGCAAGAGGAACAAAGAATTTTGCGCCCGCCGATCCTCCTACTAGGTTGCTGGTTATTGCGCCGAATCAGCCACGGATTGATTATCCGATTCACCACAAAAAGCACTCATGTTGACTACAAGAGTAAAATGAACACAATCGAACTGCAGGCAGCAGAGAGCTTTTGATCAAACAGATGTGTCCCCCTTCTATGCACATTCAGCTGTTGTATGCAAATCCAGCTGTTGGTTCCCTCTTCCAGCGTCTAGCGCTAGACCAAACATCGCCAAACATGCAGAATAGTCTGCATGTTTCTGTGACGACTCCCCAACTCTAACGCAGAAAACACGATATTATTCAAAGTGATACCATGTAAATATAAAATAACAAATATAATATAAATATATATAATATAGTCTCAGAGTCTCAGGTTCAACTCGGCCAGCGAGAAAGTTTGTTTCTCGCCAACATTCGCCAACAAGAACAAATTTCAATTTCAAATTCCTGGACCTGTTCCAAGAAAAGTGCTCAGCCTAGGCGCATTGGCATGGAATGGAATGGACATGAAAAACTCCATCAGGTCAGGAACACACAGGAATTCAGTGACTCTGACATATATTTGGCACAGCGGACTGACTGAGGTTTTAACTGAGCCAGGTGGGTCTTTGAATCCTCCCTGTCAGGGAGTTGACGGCCAGCCTCCAGCCAACTAAGAATGAACCTCTCAGAATTCCCTGGCAGCTTCTTAGCTGAAATCATCTTTGTGCATCCTTTATGCATTCCTTGGTAAAGCGCAGCGGAAAAATAACATATTACATATTTAATGCACCGGCGCAAGCAAGACATAGAGAACAAATACAATAGCGGAATTTGAAGCGGGCGTCCGCAACGGATAGAGACAGAGTGCCCAGGTTCACCGACACGCAACTCTGTGATTCTTCCTCAGACTGTTCTGTTGCTTTTTATAGGTTTGATTCAACAAACAAACACGCAGCAGCGCAATACAACATGAGGCCGCCGCCAAGAGGGTAAGGCTTCTTTGTCTCAACGGAATAGATCCAACAGTATCCCTTTGTGTCTCTCCACGGCTCAGCAAAGCTAATGATGGGAATTGGGCAATCAGCATTGCCAGCAGTGGCAGTTGAAGAGCTGGCTGGGCAAGCAAGTGAAGACTTCTTTTCAGGCAACGGCAACGGTGGAACTGGTCCCAATTGCGTTGAAAGAGCTGATTCCCATTGGTCCATGAGTTCGCCATCAGCAATGTCACTGGAATCTTTGGATCCCTCTCCTGCATTTTTCAGTTGCTGCCGCTGCTGTTGCTGTTTGTCTGTAGCAATAGCGGGCGGCGCCGACTTTGCCCGTTTAGTGCTTGAAGGTTGTGTGACTTTGCTTCTTCCCCGACCTCTACCCCTGCCTCGCGCTCGTGCTTTGCCCAAGGCGACTCGCAGCAGCTGCATCCTTTTAGCGACATCTCCATTGGGACAGTCATCATCACTTGACGACGATGGTTCATCAAGCATGGCAGTATGTTCATGGTCAATCATCTGAGTGACACGGATCTCGCACAATGAATTTGCAATGTATTGTGCAGTCTTGAAGCGAACCTGCTTACCAGTGTGTTCAAAGGAAATGTTGTAGATGCAGCAGTTCAGGGTGTAGAACTCTGGCAACCCATTTGTGATTTTCACGCAAGCAGTCTGCTCTGAGTTCCAAGTCCATCGCATGGCAGTGGCATCCAGAGGAGAGAAAGACAGCCTGACAAGAAAGTACAGGTCCAATTTCCTTTCCTGATCATCTGGAAGAGATTCAACCAAGATCAAGGGAGCGTGATCCGGCCGATACCCTTTGTCTCTGCGGACAGATCGGAACAAGCGCAAGGCGTTCTTTGCTTGGTTCAGCAGAGTGTGGAACAGCACCGACTCTGGTTTGTCAGCTTCAATTTGCATTCTACACATCCCTGGACCGAGCACGCATTGACAGTGAGCCTGATCTATATCCGACTCATTGTCCTCTGGACCAGTGTGCTCGATGATTCTTTGGTGCTCTGCGCGGAATTCGGAATGGCTTTGCTTTACCCAGTTTCCTTGGCATTGGCTCCTTGCCAAATCAACCTGCTTTGCTGATATTGCATAATGTTCATCTGCCAAGGATGCAAGATTGTGAATGTTGCTTGGAGCGCAGTGGACCAAAGAAGTTTGAGGAACATCGACCGCAGCAAGCTGACCCTGTCTTGAACTCTTGTTCACCGAAACAGCTTCCTGCTTCAACCTCCCTTTGTCCTCACAACAACCACTCAACTAAATTACATCACATCCACCAACACATCTCACACGTCGACTTCGACAAACAAATTGTTTGAAGATTGACGGCTTGAAAGTCAAATCAAAGCATCACTCAATGAAAGTCCTCGAGATCTTGTCTCCAATGGTTTGTTGCTTCTTGCCACACTCGCTTTCTGGATTCATTTTTGGACTCACCAGGCAAAGTGACCTGCTACAGGCTAGGGAACATATTTAAGTATGACTCGACCGCTGGTTTACCTCCACAGTAAATGAAATTATGTCTGGACTCTCAAGGCCGCACACGATTCTCAAGGCACTGCTTCATGTAGAAGGTGTAGCCGTTGTAAGATCGGATGCCAGGTTCTCCTCCTGGCCAAATACAGAGTGA